GACGACTTCAAGCTTCATGCATGACTGGTCACGCCACTCAATTTTGAGCCAATCACGAGTCCCGTTATATGAAAAATACATTACAATAATTTATGCATTGCGTTTGGAACGGACCTAAGTTTTATTCAGGCTGCCCTAAGGCGTTACGCACGATCAGTTTGTTCTATTATCAGTGCACCGTTTCTTGAAATGTCCTCCGACGCATAGATTCCCATGAAGTCATCCAGTTTCATAGTCAACCGAGTCCAGAACTTTCACCTGGAGCCGATAAAGGTAGTGTATGTTACTCAGTTGATGTCTCTTAAAAAATTAGCGCGAAATTGTCCTTTTATTGCCGGTTTCTTTACGTTTATACATGTTTGAGGAGTTAATCGACAGATTAGTCAATATCTACTGTCTATAGACTGCTTTCGATGTTGGCGTTCTTACAGAATCAGTCGTTTGTCAGTCTTGTTGTAAATGTATCTTATGGAATTCTCTGTAGTTATCGTTTGTAGTTTCATCAAGACTAGTGACAGATAATTTGAAAAAAACTGCTAACTTCATAATCACCAAACGCTGTGGAATGCATGTTTTCACTAATGATATTATGTCGTTGAGACTTCGCTTGTTCTCCATCAGTGGTGTTGAAGCAAAATTCTAATTAATAAAGTCGGTAAACGGGAACTGAGCAAAAGCTTAGTTTGACAAGATAAACTATGGAAAGTTCTCTCTCTGTTTTATCAAGTAGTTAGTAAGGTTTTCGCTTACCGAAACACTTTCACTTTTAATTTTACATCATTGTATTACATTGTCATGCTAGAAGCGCCCTGTGAGGATAAGAGATTTGTATCGAGTCTGGCTGGTAGAAAAGCGCACAACTCTTGGCACAGGTCTATTATTTCGGACTTTTATAACACTGGTATGGTCAGTCAGAAAATGTGTATAAATTTAAGGAATAATAAACTGGACAAGAAATGCATGCTCATTTAACCGGCCATGAACAGAGGAGAAATTTAATGTTCAGCAATGAATGTCATCTATTTCTCGTGATAATATTTTACATTTTCTCGAAGAGAAACCTTTCGGCACTTTGAGCTAAGCCACCAAAAGTCAAGAAAGTGGAGTAACGCCCAGTTCAGACGCCGAACTTTTCATGAGCCGAACTTAATTCGCATTTGGACCGACCCAAATTATCAAAAGCACGCCTGTTAATTCAGACGTCGAACTTAATTTACCGAACTTAATTTAGTTTGAACCAAAACACATCGAAACATCAGCGGTTTTCAGACAAGGTGTATGCATTAGGTTCGGCATATGAAAAGTTCCATGTCTGAATCAAAGCCGTTCCAAAGCCGAAATTCCCGGCTGAGCTAGGCGGGAAGAACTGCTGAGCCGTTCCAAATTCAAATAGCCGTTCTTAACTGATTGAGACGCCGAACTTTTCATGTACTTAATTCAACGCATTGGGTTCGGCTCATGAAAAGTTCGGGGTCTGAACTGGGCCTAGGACCGTCAATTACGAGACTTCAGAAAATTACCCAAGACTTTGAAAACTTTCTCTGACTAACATATTGAGTTGGGTCGACTTCTTTCTGCAGGGTGCCTGAAGGCGTTACACGTGATCAGTTTGTTTCATTCTCTCGAATTTTCTGCGCACCGTTTCTTGGAATGCACGCCGATGCATAGTCTGCTTCCATAGATTCCAGTCTTATCATCTATCGAGTAAACAGTTTACATCTGGAGCAGATTAAGGTACTTCATTCGCTCAGTTGATGTCCCATTGAGGTAAAGTAGCAGACAATTGTGCTTTTTTCCGGTTTTCTTTAGCTTTTTCGAGTTTGTATTTCTTTTAGAAATTCGGCGACGAAAAACGAAAACAAGTTTTTTACTTTGATCATCAAAATTTAAATTCTCTTTGCTCGCACCGTCATTACGTCAACGGCTCGCACTAGTTCTGTGTTTCTATGGAGTTTTAGTATTTATTAAATCCATTTTAAAATCACTGGTTATACTTGCAATCTGATTGGCTCTCAGTGGTGCGATTTTTTTGACTTCAGACTAAATTGTACTCTACTCAGTTCAATTACCATTATAAATCTACTAGCGTTCTGTCACGAATGCCGCTCTCTGATTGGCTACGCTACAAACTTTCTATTCTAAATAATAACCAACAAAACACGAAACCATAAAACACAAGAGGAAATTACGAGCATAGCCTCAACCTTACAAACTCCATGCAACTGTATTGTTCGAAGTGGCCTGGTGAATATACAGATTATATATGTAGATAATACTCTTAACCTCGTACAATTCCTTTCGCACACATTGCGTGCCTATGCTTGCTTGCTAAAATATTCATAATTTTCCGTGTTGATGAATTTGGAGGCGGCGTCTTACTGGGAGCCTAAATACGTTTTATGCGGGATACTAAAAGGCGTTACGCGTCATCAGTTTCTTACGTTCCATTCTCTTTGCACCGTTTCTTAGACGTTACAAGCAGAAATCACGTTTTTAGAGAGGAGAAATTGCAGCACAGACTAAAGTTATCAAAGTGTAAAAACAGAGAAACACAAACTTGGAGTAATTCCATCCTCTTTGAATGGTAAGTAGGCTCGATTTCCGCGTCTTTTTTTTTCCTGAGCAACGGCTAGTAGGGGATTTTAAGCGAATGGTTTTAAGTGGAGGGTAGCCTGCATAGCGAGCCTTGTCGTACGAGGCGAACGAAATTCGGGCCGCGCGAAGGAGTTTTTCGCGGCCCGAATGCGAAAAAGTCCTTTGCGCGGCCCGAATTTCGTTCGCCTCGTACGGGAACGCTTCCTACGCAGGCTAAGTGGAGGGTTAATGGCGCACGTTCTTCGAATAGATGATACATGTCGATTCTAAAGACATATTTATTCCAATACTAGATACTGACGAATCAGCTCTCGGACGTATTCGCCAACTCAAAGCCCCACCGTGGTACAAGGCGGAAAAGATGGAACAGCGCCCCCTGCAGGGTACAAGTACAGAGACATCACTATCCTGGCTACCATTGAATAAATCTTTTCTGAAAGTAATTTTCCTGTTCTGTGGTATTACACTGGTCATTTGCGCCTTTTATCTACAAAGAACCAGCATCATAGACAACGGAAACATACTCAGTTACGATCGATCACTGTCTTGGCACAAGTTAACTAACCATTCTAGTAGTTCAGTTCCCAAAAAGAAGGAAGAGGAAAGTGCGCCGCGGCCTGGGAAAAAGATTTTCATCGCTTTTGATTACTGGGAGCAACTGACAATGGCAACAAATAGCTTCCTTGGTCTCACAGCCCTTGCTGCGTATGGTGAACGACAAGTTGTCCTTCCATTTGTAAAAGACTCGCGATTTTACGGCGCACCCACAAAGAAGGGTTTTGAAACACTCGCTCTGTACTTTAACGTGTCCGCGCTCAATCGCACGCTTCGTTCGCGCGGTCATGGTACGCTTATAAGCTGGAAAGAGTTTCAAGACGTCTGTCAAGGGAAACTGGATATACTGGTGCATTTTGATTACACGAACCTAACTAAAAGTAAAAAATATAATCGAACCACACGGGCATTTTTTCCTTGCAACACTCGTGACAAAAGCACATTTGGGGATTTGAAAGCTGAAAGAACAATTTGCATGAATGTGTTTGCGGTTGATTCAGTTGAAAAATTCGAGAATGACGTCATAGAGAGGTTACCATGTGTTGGCTTGGCTGTGTGGAGAGGAAGTAGTAGAGAAAGATCATATCGAGCGCAATTTAATTTGAGAGCAGTTGTACCACATCGTATGCGCTTTCATGACGCTGCCATTTTCTTTAGTTCAAGACTCCTTCAAGTTGCACGAGATTTTATCGCGAAAAGTCTTGGCCCATTCTTTTTCTCTGCGCACATTCGCGCGGAAAAGATGTTAACTTTTGGAATTACTTTTAACAATAGCGTAGCGATCAAAAAGTGTATATCAAATTTGACGAGGCGAGTTCAAAGGTACAAGAATGCTAGTAGAGCTCCCATACCGCTTTTCTTAGCCACCGATTTCGGAGACTATGGAAGTTTGTCTAAACGTGCAATACTTGCCCGAGAAAACGCAAAGTCACTGTTGAATATTTTAGCGCCTCTAAAACCAATTATTTTTCAGCCTTCAACTTATAATCTTACTGATCATGGTGCCGTGGCCATTGTGGAAATCAATATTCTGTCGTCTGGAAAGCGCTTATTTGTAGTTGGAGGGGGTTCATTTCAGGGGTTGCTAGTTAATAGATTCCTTAATAAGGCCAAGATTGACCAACAAGCCAAAGCTAAATGCCAAATCAGAAATTGTGTAACAGATTGCGTTGTTTAAAATTTATTAGTAGAGGACTATATTGACTTTTCAGAAGCACCATTAACATTTTATTCAGGCAACTCGCTATCATGATCTGATAACGTGATTAATGAATATATCTTATTAAGAAAACTTGAATTATTCGACAATTAGGGAATTTAGCTGGTTATCGCTCAAGTCAAAGTTAAAGTCAATAAAATTAGATCACAAGTATTTTTAGTAGTATTTCATTGAAAACTATTGAATTATTAGTTTTGTAGAATTAGTTTTGGATAACTTGGAGGTGATTGATAAGATTAACACTGTATTTGTCAACCCAAACACTCTCGGCGTAATCGAATAGCGGCAGAACAAGACTATAGTGTAAAAAGTTAATCTAGCGCATAGATGTAAGAACTGTTTAATACGGCCAACCAAAGCAAGGTGTTAACTGATATTACTGCTAGTAAGGGTTATATGTTCCTTCCAAGTTGTATTCTTATTGATTGTAACACCAAGATAGTTATACACCCTTCTAATAAGTGGCGGCGCCGTTTTGAATATTTAATTTATGACGTCATTTGCGGAAAGTAACCTGTTCCCTTCATTTCAGAGATACGATTTAGAAAGATCGGAGTTTAGTGGTCGTTGCTACTTAAAGCCTGGTACTGTTGCACCTGTCTTCCAGTGTTAGGAGCACAAACCATGCCATACTTCTAAACCGCCAAAAAAAGGAAGTTAAATAAGTTTCAGCTTCGATCAAGTGAAGTAAGTTGTAGAAAAAGACCAGTGATGAAAGTCTGACAGCAGTTGAAGCTGAACCGATTGAAGCTTGTGTTGACTTGAGTGTGGCTGCCATAGATAACATGAAAGAGACAGAACCTGAATTAGCCGAACTAAAAGCGTATATTCTATCGTTAACTGAAAAGTTAAAAACCGCTAACACGAAGATCGAACAGCTCGAACAAACTGTGCGTGACATGGAGTTCTGCACTGAAAACATCGAAGTCACTGATGTCTGCTTTTACATTGCGTTTCCAAATCGTCAAGTGTGCAATGCAGTGTTGACTCATTTTAATCCACGTGGAAATTTGGTATACACGCGAAATGAATCAAGGCCTGACGTAAATTCTACTCCGATTCGAAAAATTGGACGACCCAGAAAACTGACTCCCACAAAATCAATTTTTTTCTTTTCCTTTGCAGGGTGAGGATTGGATTTTTTGAACGTGACCTTGCTTATAGATTTAACTTCTCTATTGCAACCGTCAGTATATAACGTAGTTATTTCGTGGGCTAATTTCTCACATCTCAGACATGGATCATTAAGCATTTGGCCTGGCAAAGAGGAAATTGTAGAGAAAATGCTCGAGTCATTCAAGTCAAAATACAAAGAAACCAGGGTTATCATTGATTGCACTGAGATAACAGTTGAAATGCCTTCCTCACTTTTAGCTTGTGTTGAAATCTCAGACACACTCAAACTACAAGAGTGCAAACACATTAAAGGGACTTGTGGGAATCTCACCAAGCAGCAGCATAACATTCTTTTCTCAACTGTATACTGGTTCAATATCAGACCGGGAAATTTCTGAACGTTTTGGTACTCTCAACATGCCATTCAGTCAAGCTGGTGACAGTCTAACGGCCGACAAACGAATTGACATCCAAGATTTGCTTGATTCAATTGGTGTTAAGTTAAATATACTTCCATTTTTGCACATGAAAGCACAGTTCCTCGTCCAATTCGTTCCTGTTGTTGGG